TTTCATTATTAAACTTAAATTAAATTATAATAAAAATAAATTAAAGAAATTACATAAAAAATAAAAACTTTTAAATAATTAGGATAATCATTGAGTTTTAACAGAATATTTAATTATTATCTTTATAAAATGTTATACTTACGTGTGTCCCTATCTATAAAAGTTTATGGATCCGTCACTGGTCTTGGGTCTATGATTTTAAATCTTTTTACGGACTTTGGTGAAAAATGTAATTTTTTTTTGCTGGATGAGAAATGTAAATTTTTTACATACTTGTGTGAAAAATGTAATTTTTTTTTGGACATGAGTAGAAGTGTACTTTTTTTTAATCTTTTAACTAGGCCCACAATTACGAACGTAAATCGAACTGTAACTATTTTGATAAACTTGAAGAGAAAATAATTAAAAGATGAAATAAACCTTAAAAAATAATTATTTCACTTTAGAACATGAAAGACGTAGAAAATAACATGTGCCCTACATTTATTTTTACTTATAAGTTTTACTAAAATAGTCACAGTTCCGTAATTTTTAAATCTTTTTACAAACCTTGGTGAAAAATATAATTTTTTTTACCAACCTGGATTAGAAATGCAATTTTTTTTACGGAAAGGCGTAGAAAGTGTATTTTTTTATTATCTTTCAGTTAGGTCCGTAATTGCGAACGTGAGTCGACATATGATTATTTTGATAAACTTGAAGAGAAAATAACTAAAAAATAAAATCTACCTTAAAAATGACTATTTTAATAATTTTCTCTGATGTTATTTGAAAAAGTGTCGTGTAAAAAATAAGTATCTTATAAAAAGATTAGTTCAAAGGACATTTAAAAAAAATATCTTATAAAATATCCAATAAAAAGTGTCCAAAATTTTTGTTAAGACCTGCGGTCATAAAAATCATTTTATATTTTGGTCTTATAAATTAAATCATATAAACTTATTATAATACTTTTAGACATAATCATTTTATATTTTGGTCTTATAAATTAAATCATATAAAGTAGTCTATTTAAACGCTTTAAAATTGATGGCGTGTTATAACCTAATCTTGTTATAACGACAATATCTACAAATTTTTGGTGAATTTCATAAAATATGGAAAACCCAAATCAAAAGACTTTCAACAAACACAATTTTTTCAAGTTAACACCTAAAATGTTTTGGTCTTTTTTTAAACATATTATATATTTTTTATTTTGTAACTTAATAATTCAATAAAAATACAGAATCTATTCAACGCGTTTTCAAGTGTGGTTTTTATTTGTTTTCAAGTTATACCAGAAGGATACTCATACAATACAGCGAAATATATCTTGATTTTAATGTTTTATTTTATTTATTTCTTTTTTTGTTTCAGTTGATGTTATGATACGGTTTTATATGGTTTTGAAAAAACGATAATGTTTTAGTTTTTGAATAAAATATAAATATGAAAATATCATAAAAAATTGAAAAAAAATATATTAATATTAGTACCAAACTAACTATTTAAAAATTCTTATTTTTATGTATTTCTTTAATTCATTTTTTTATTTAATAATATAATTTTTTTAAAG